ACATCCCAGGGTAATAAGAATCATGGACAGGGATGCAGCGACATTAATGTAAGCAAAACATCAAATTAAAATCAAAATCAAATCTGCAGAACCAATTAGATTCCAAGTAGGGCTTTGAAGAAAATAGGAAGAACATTGAAGATGCCTCAACTCCAAGCTCCTAAAGTTCTCACAATTCAGTAACCATTGCAAGATTGGAAAATTACACTGGTTCTCATCTATTCAAACAAATAAATAGAGGAAAATCAGGGAACTATAAGCCACTTAACCTGATATCCATTGCTGGGAAATTACTGTCTTATGTAAATATTGATGGAATTACTGAGCACCTTGAAAGTTTTCGGTTATCAGAGAGAGCCAGCATGGATTTGTGAAAAGTCAACAATGAATGGATTTGATCAACATGACAATTTTTTTTTTGAAGAGGTGACTAAAATAGTGAACAGAGACTGCCAAAGTTATTTATATGGACATCCAGAAAGCATTTGATAAAGCCCCTCATGAGATACTGTCAGCCAAAGTTGAAGGTCACAGAACTGAAGAAAAAAATTTGACTTAAGAAATTTAATGAACGCCACCAGACAGGCAGTGGGCATAACAGGCAGATGCTGTAACTGGTAGAATGTGACTTATGTCCCACAAGAAAGTGTGTTGGGACCTGAATTATTCACTTTGAATATTCATTCTTAAATGTATGTTGGAGAGCCACAGACCCAATTGTGCTGATGACAAAGACCAGCAGCATTATAAATGATACAGAATGGAAGTGTTAATATTTCCGTAGAATTTAACACATTAAGTGAATGGGCAGAACTATGGCAAAATGACTTCAATGTAAACAGTGTAAACACTTTGGGCCTGAAAAGGATTGGTTACAGTACTTCCTAAATGGTGAAAAGCTAGAAAAGAGAGAAGGCTGAAAAAGAGACAGGTTTCCATCTACAAAGATCATGTGTGCTGGCCTTTATAGTTAGAAGACTGGAATACATAGGTTAAAAGTCATGCTACAGCTATAAGAAGTCTGGAAAACGTCACACTTGTGTTCTGTATTGGACGCCACATTTTGTCAAAAATATAATAGCTTTAGCAGACGTGCAGCATAAATTTAGAAGATTGATACGTGGACTTTATAAGCTACAGTAAATGAAGAAATTGCACAAACTGAATTCGTATTCCCTGGAAGTTGGAATATCAAGGGATGATTTCATCATTGTTTTCAATGTATTAATTGGAATATAGAACAGCTAGAAAATAGTTCTATGGGTTGAGGAACCTAGGACAAGAAACTAGATCTTTTAAGTCAAATTAAGAAACAGTTTTACATGCAAAAGGGTAGGAAAGTTTGGAACTTGTAGATGCAGTATTCAGTTGTTAAATTTTAAACCTGAAATTGATAGAATTTCATTAACCAAAGCTATTAAGGGATACTGGGCAAAGGTAGGTATTTGGAGTTAGATCGTATATCAGTTGTGATTTAAAATGAATGACAGAACTGGCTCGAGGGCTTAAATGGTCTCTGCTGTTTCTATGATTTTGTTCAGTTCCATTAAAAAGCTTTTCTCTAGTTTAACCAGTCTCACTTATCTGCAGGCAAGCCATCCCACATCCTAAACAGTGTTTAAAACAGAAAAAAAAAAGATTTTGTAAAATTATTTCAACAAAACTAAACCAAACATTGGACTGGTATGTACTGAGTGTAGCTGTTTACATTTTTTCTAAATCAGTTCACGGACTCATGGTCTCCTCATACAAAGTTTCAGACTGCACTGAAACACTTCCCCACGGCTGGACATTCAGTTCCAGAACATGGAGTTTTCACAGTGAGCTCAAGCAAACTTGCTTGATAATATTTATCCTGCCACTGTTCACAATAACGCAATCTTAAATACCAACCTCATGGTCAGTGGATACAATTTTACACCATTAGAAAGAGGGTTGAAATAAACAGTTGACAAACCCAAAATATATTTACTAATTAACTATATTCAATAAATTTGTGAAATCGTACAATTGATGGTGTGCATTTTACAGACAATACTTAAAGCAATAGCTCAATGTCAGCTCCTCACCTGCCAGAGCAAGAAGTCGCTGAGTCGCACCTCCCCAGATGTGCGGATCAGTAGGTCTGGGTCTGGAGAGCTGCTAGAGTACAGGCACCTGCTCAGCAGAGACTCCGAAAGGTCACTGAAACAGAGAAGAGCTCAGATGAATGCTGTGCAATAGAACAACTAGCCCTTTGATACAATTTTCTAAAGAACAAGACAATGAATAGTGCCTTCCCATGCATGACACTAATTAATCGGTTTCGTGAAAGCTCGAGTTTGATCAGACCGTATCAGTACGTGCAAAAAGGCAATACTACCTGGGTTTCAATAACCCTTCTTCAACACCCAAAGCCATCTCGCGAACTGCACTGGTGATCTCATGCCGAGAGGTGTAGGCGAAGCACACATTCAGAAAACACCTGCAATAAAGTGGAGAAGTTAAATGAAACAACATCGAGGATCGAGTGCAAGTGATGAGGGAAGAAGGTGCTACCCTCAGTCGAAGCAAGCGTTAGAGACATTCATCTACTCCTCATCAACGGACACGTAGACACACACACACAAACTGTGTAGTAGAATGTCTTACTTGTTGTAACTCTGTGTTGCCAGCACTGCCTGTGCAATCAACTCTTGGATATCAACAGGTAGCAGGGTTAGGTTTCCTAAGACTCTGATGCAAACACCATGTTTCTTCAAATTTTCTCTGGAAAATTCAAAATAAAAGCATTTACTTTAAAAAAAAAGCACCTATTGGGGCAACTTTACATTCGATATCCAGGAGAAATCACAACGCAATAATTTTAATCCCGATGATACCACCACTGTGCCCAAGTCTATGGCAGCTCAGTTGGTAGCACTGATCGGAGTCAGAAGATTCTGGGTTCATGACCAACTCCAGAATTTAAGCGCAAAAGTACAGAGGAAATGTACTGTTGGGGATATCCATTTTGGATGAGACATTAGAGACTCTGACCACCCTCTCTGATGAGCATAAAGCTCCATGGTATTATTTTGAAGAGAAGTATGAGAGTTATCCAACTGTCCTGACCAAAAGGTACACCTCAATCAATATCAGATTACCTGGTCATGATCACATTGATAGGTAGAAAACATTTAGGAAGGATGGGAAAATAGAAAAGGTTGGAGGGGCAGTCTGTTAGTTAATAGAGGGGCATGATCCAAGTTCAGAAAACCAAGGTGTGTATAAGGTTTGGTAGAAATGATACAGAAGGCAAGAAGTCACTTTTGGAAGTGGTGTACAGCTTCCTCACAGTACCACATGGCAGAATTGAGCAAAAAAGAAACAATGTGACCTGTCAGAAAAGCACAGTGATAATCATGAGAGATTTTAATATACACATTGGCTGGAAAAGTCAGATCACCAAAACAGCCTAGGTGAGGAGTTCATAGAATGTTTTCAGGATAGTTTCTTAGAACATCTTGTTCTGGGGCTGACTAGACAGCAAACTGTACTAGATCTGGCACATGATAAAATTAATTAATAATCATAGCGAAGGCACCCCTAGGTAGAAGCAACTATAAAAGAACCACTTTTTACATTCAGTTTCAGGGAGAGAGAAGTTTGAGACTTTTTAAAATCTGAAAAAGGGAAAAGGGAAACTACAAGAGTATGAAAAAAACTGGCTAAAGTGAACTGATAACTTGGTTACGAAATAGTTCACTAACAATGTGGTGACAGATATTTAAGGAAATATTTAAGAATACACAGAAAGGAATAAGGGATGGACCCAACATCCATGGTTAATTAGAAAGATAGTATCAAACGAAAAGAAAAAGCATATAATCATGCAAAGACAGGTAGCAGTTCAGAAGATTGGACAGAATATAAAAACAGCAAAGAATAACCAAAAAATTAAAGGGGGAGGAAGGAGGAATAGGTACTAAAAGCTAGCCAGAAATGTCAAAACAGATAATTAACATTTTCTATAAATATTTAAAGGAGAATGTGAATGTTGGTCCTATAGAAAGTGAGACTGGAGAATTGATAATGGAAAATAATGAAATGATAGATGAATTGAATAGGTTATCTTGCATGTCTTCACTATAGAGGAGAACTGAGGAAGGGCTACTCGACCCAAAACGTTAACTCTGATTTCTCTCTTCAGATGCTGCCAGACCTGCTCATCGTTTCCAGCAATTTCTGGTTTTGTTTCGCCATAGAGGGTACATCCCAAAACCATGATAAATCAGGAAACAGAAAGAAAAAACTCAGAAAATTACAATTACCAGAGAAGTGAAACACAGTAAGTTGCTGAGGTTGACAACGTGCCTGGGACCTGACAGATTTCATACTAGGGCTGTAAACAAAGTGGCTAATGAGATAGTGGATACATTGGTTTAATTTTCCAAAACACCCTTGATTCAGGGATGATCCCATTAGATTGGAAGATAGCAAATGTAACTCCTTTAATCAAAAATGGAGGGAGACAGAAAGCAGGCAACTACAGATCCAGAGATAGTAGGAACTGCAGATGCGTCAGCCTCTCTGCTCCTATGATGCTGCTTGGCCTGCTGTGTTCATCCAGCCCTGCACCTTGTTGTCTCAGAAACTACAGATCCAGCTATCTTAACAGTGGTCAGAGGGAAAATGTTACAAACTATGATTAAAGGTGATATAGAAGCGCACTTGGAAAAGTTCAAGATAATCAGGCAAAGGCAACCTGGGTTTGTGAAAGGGACATCAATCTATAGGAGTTCTTTGAGGCAGTTAACATGTTGGGGTTAAAGAGGAACCAGTGAATATACTGTACCTAGATTTCCAGAAGGCATCTGATAAGATGTTATATCAAAAGTTATTGTGGAAAATGGTGTAGGAGTAGCTGAACAAGTTGATTAAAAATGCCTACAACAACAGATTGAAGGTATGGTTCACAAATTTGCTGATGACACAAGATAGACAAGGAGGTAAGTTGTGGAAAGGACAGAAGGAGGATAGAAAAAGATGGAGTTTAAGCATGTGGGCAAAGATGTGGGCAACAGAATATAATGTCGAAAAATGCAAAAATATCCATTTTGGCAGAAAAATAATATAAATAGGACTTCATCTAAATGGTGAGAAATGGCAGAGAGGTCCAGTGTCATCACAGAGAAATTGCAAGATCAGCATGCAGTTGCAGTATGTATTTAGGAAAGCTAATAGATGGTTATCATTTATCACAAGGGGAACTGAATACAAAAGTAGCAAGAACAAAAAAAAAGTTGCTGGAAAAGCTCAGCAGGTCTGAGGAAGGGTCACCAGACCTGAAACGTTAACTCTATTTTCTCCTCCACAGATGCTGCCAGACCTGCTGAGCTTTTCCAGCAACTTTGTTTTTGTTCCTGATTTATAGCATCCGCAGTTCTTTCGGTTTTTACAAAAGTAGCAAGGTTATGCTTCAGTTATACAAGGCCCTGGCGAGACTTTGTCTGGTGTACTGTGCATTGTAATGGTCACTTTATTTAAAAGGAAGAATGTAAATGCATTGGAGGCAATTCAGAAAAGATTCACTAGACACATAAAAGAGATGAGTGGTTTATCTAATGAAAAAAGATTGGGCAGGCTTATATCTGCTGGAGTTTAGACAAGGTGACTTGACTCAAACATACAAAATCCTGAAGGGTCTTGTCACGATGTGTGGAGAGATTGTTTCCTCTTACGAGAGAATATAGAACTAGAGATCACTATTCAAACATCAGGGGTCACCTTTTTGTAACAGATGAGGCAAAATTTTCTTTTGAGGGTTGGGAGTCTTGGAATTATCTTCCTGAAAAGACGGTGAAAGCAGAGTCCTTGAATATTCTTAAAGCAGAGGTACATAGATTTTTGTTAAGGGGGTGAGAGGTTGTGAAGGATGGTGAAAAACGCGGATTTGAAGGTACAATCTTATCAGCCAAATCATATTACATGATGGAGCTGGCTCGAGGGACTGAATAGTCTCCTACTGCCCCTAAATTGTATGGCATTTGTCATTCTAAATTAATATGAGAAACCAGTGTCTGATCTTTTGCACACTGGGGATGAGGCAGTCCATATCTCTTCACCACAGTAGTATTTACGTACTGTTATAACTTACATAGATACCAACAGGATTCAGGAACAAAACAGGAAATCCACTGGACAGAAATCTGGAATGAAAATTCTCTGATTTCCTTCTCTGATTTCATGAAGAGAAGGAATCCTGGCTGATTTCCCTCCTCTAAACTACGTACCAGTGCAGTCCATGAACTGGAGGCCTCCCTGCTGATTTAAGTGAGTCAGCATCACACCTAAAATGGCTAATTTACCACTGAGCCATCAGGACTGTTGTTGTGGGATGCCACTGCCCCAACAATTTATTTCTTTCCTCAGTCCTTATACCTTTGGTCAGGCAAGAGAAGGTTTGTGAAGGTACAGAGGGGTGCCTGGGGTCAGCCACAGGGCGTTGTCAGAAAGGTGATGAAATAAAAGTCAGATGCTCCAGTTTTGATAGCGCAATTTATAGTCATTGTGACAGAGCAACACAGAAGGGACCTGTTATTAGATTCTGCATAGTTAATTCAATGTCAGTGCAATTTTACAAAAGCCTACTGTTCCTCAAGGAGTCTTGTGAATTTCTGTCGTGCGAGTTCCATCAGTCCATCCACTTCCTCTTTGGAGCGCTTGAAATTCTCAATACTGAAAGCATAAACAGTCACCTCTCGGATATTCAGGTTCAAACACCAGCGAAGGGTCTGCCCAAACAAAAGTAAACAGTGCAAACCTTGTCACTTCAGTGTTACACCTTACACAGCATCATCTCAATCAACAACCTTTATTCCTGGGCCTCTTCATTCCCATGTATTGCGATCGTTCTACCCTTCTCATTCCAGGTTTAGGCAGATCAGGGAGATAATTGCACGGCTTGAGGGATGGTGTAGAAGGGAGGGGACATTGGGATCACTTTTGGGAAAGAAGAAAGCTGTTCAGAAGAGATGGGCTTCATCAGAGCAGAAATAGAACTAATCTGGTTGAGAGAGTAAATAGTATTGAGGGGGTGGATTTAAAACTAGTAAGGCAGGGGGTGGATTAGCTAATGGGTCTAGTTTTGGAAGTACCAGAGAGGGCAAAAGAGAAGACGGGGAACAGGGAAAAAGAAATGAGGGAAGATTGAGCGTTGACAGTACACAAAGAAATGGTCGCCTTCCAATGAGTAAGAAAGGGACAGCAGCAGGATTAAAATTTATGTATGTAAATACAAAAAAAGATTGTGAAGAAAACTGGGGAACTGGAAGCAGAAATTGCTCTAGGGGGATATGACAGCAGCATGACTCAAGCCAGAACAGGACTGCATACTTAACATCCCAGGTTATAAGGCTTTTAGTAGCAACAGGGTGGTAAAAAGGGAGGAGGTGTAGCAGTCTTGGTCAGAGGTAGTATCATTGCCCTTGAATGAGATGCAATTTCTGAATTAGAACCTATATGAACGGAGGTGAGAAACAGCAACGGAGCTGTGACCTTGTTAGGTATTTATAATAGACTTCCAAATACTGGGAAAGAAATAGAGAGTATTTGTAGACAGTTTATGGAAGTTGCAGAACAAGTAAGGTTGTGATAGTCGGTGATTTCAATTACCTTGGGGTAGCCTGGCAAAAAGTTACAGCGTGGGGCAATGAAGAGGTGAAATTCCTGTAATGTGTGCAGAAGAATTTTCTGAAACAGTACTTTTTGGAAATGAGACAGGCCAAGTGGAGAATGTCAGATTGGGGGAGTATTTGGGAAATAATAATCCTAAGATAATACGGTTCAATATTAAAGTTGTAAAGGGTTAAAAAAAAAAGTCAATTATTAGGATTGCCAGGTCCTGATGGGATACATCCTAGATTGCTGACAGAGGTAAAGGATAAAACTGCAGGGCTGCTGACAGAAATTTTCTAGGCCTTTCTGAACTCAAGATTAGTCCCAGTGAACTGGAGGATTGGAAAATGTGGCACCATGGTTAAAGAAAGGGGCAAAGGATAACCCGAGAAACTACAAACCTGTCAGTGTAACATAAATAGTGGGAAAACTGACGGAGGTCAATACAGGAGAAGGTCAATACATACGTACAGAAAAATAAGTTAATACTTGATAGTCAATATGGCTTTATCAAGGGCATGTCATGTTTGACAAATTTGATTGAGCTCTTTGGAGAGATGAGACAGGCAGTGGATGAGGATAGTGCTATGGATGTTGTATATTTAGACTTTCAGAAAGCATTTGATATGATGCGACATGGCAGGATGGTTAGCAAAGTAGAAATGTTTGACAAGGATAGATTAGAAGTTGGCTAAAAAAGATAGGAAGCAGAGGGTACGTATAGATGGGCATTTCTCAGACTGAAGACGAGTTGGAAGTGGTGTTCCCCAGGGAATGGTGTTGGGATCCTTGGTTTTTCTGATTTATGTAAATGATTTGGACATAAAAGTGATGAGGGCAAAAATCTCTAAATTTGCAAACGATACTAAGCCAGGGAGAATAGTGAATTGTGAGGATGAAGCTGAGCAACTTCAGAGAGACATTGACAAGTTGACCAAATTGGCTGACTCCTGGCAGATGAATTTCAATGCAGAGAAATGACAGGTAATGCATTTTGGTAGAAAAAACACAGACAGACAATGTAGGCTCAATGGTACAACTTTTAGGAGAAGGACCTCAGGGGCTCAATTGCATAATTCTCTGAAGGTGGCCAGGCAACTTGCAACAGTTGGTAAGGTGGTTTATGGGATCCTTGGGTTTATAAATAGCAACATAGAACACAAAAGCAAGGAAGTGATGTTTTACCTCTACAAATCATTGGTCAGACCACATTTGAAGTACTGAATTCAGTTCTGGGCAGCTTATTTAAAGAAGGAAGCCCTGGAGACAGTGCAAAGGAGATTTTCTAGAATGATAACAGGCATGAAGGATTTAAGATACAAAGAAAGATTAGAGAAATTGAGCTTATTCTCCTTGGAGTAGAGAAGATTAAGAGGTGACCTTATTGGGGTTCAAAATTGTGAACCATTTTGACAGGGTAAAGAAGGATATTCTGTTTCCAATAGTTGGTTTGTCAGTAATTAGGAATCATAATTTCAAGGCTGCCAGCAAGACAGCTAGAAGTGATTTGAGGAAAATCTTCTTTATTCATAGTTGTTAGGATTTGGAATGTGCTGCCTGGGAGAGTGGTGGAGGCAGATTCTGTACAAGGTTTCAAAAGACAGCCGGTCACATATATTTGAAAGAGATGAATTTAGAAGGCTACGGAGATAGGGCTGGAGGACAAACCTAGCCGAGTAGCTCTTTTGGGAGCTGGTATAGACACGATAGGTCAAATGGCCTCCTTCTGTACTGTAAATTCTATGATTCTGCAGGTTGTCTTGGATGTCAACACCCCATACCTTCCAGAGTCCCTAGGATCCAGGTAAATGGTCAGTAATGTATTTGAATACTAGCAGTTGTAAACTTAGGTTAGTGCGGGAGCATTGAGTTCCTGTCATTTCATTTATTGAAGGCAAACTTAATTTTTTCCTACAAATGATTTTCACAAGATTTTAGTCGCCCTGCCTGTCACAGGGAAACTCTCAAAAGGCAGAAGACTTCAAAGCTCCCAAAATTTGATTTCACACAAACTCCTTTTGATACATCCCTGCCACTTGTCTGGAAAATAAAAAAAAAATCATTTGATGCTTCAACAAAGAAAGGAATTTAGTATTTAGAATGCAATGCTGATTTGCCTCAATACCTCTGCCAGTTTCTCAAAGCCTTGAGAATGACCCTGCTGTCTCTCCACTCGACATTTCTGTGCATAGCGTCGATTTCCGTCCATTATGAATGCCACATGCTCAGGCATTGGACCAACCTGCATAACAGGATTACATGCTCTCAGAAATCCTTACAGTACAAAGACTAATTATTCAGACAGGAAATAAATCAATAGTTTAGTCAACAAAAACCAATCACTGCGCTCCAGAATTTTGAAACAACCAGCTAAGGTCTTTGTTTATACGATACAGAGTGAATACTCTTCTGATTCCACTGTCCCTAACCTTAAGCAAAAGGACATGGTCCGCCATTCTATCAAAAGATCATTTAGGCACATGTTAGTGATAGACAGGGCTCTCCCACTCCCATTGTGTAATCAGCACTGCCAGAGTTCATCAGCTAAAACTGCAGCTTATCTACCAGCATAGGTACACTGCTCACTGCACATGTACTCCACTCTCTATGGTATTGAACTGTAGGATTATTGCAGAATTTGATTTAATTTATAACCTGTATAAAACAACTAGATCTCCTCACATCCTGAAAAAAAAAAATCTGTATCCAGAGAAGCATTTGTTTCCTGCTAACATGAAAGATAACATGAGGAGTATATTCTCAATTACATATAGGGAGGCACATCAAGAGAAACTGGAAGCAGAAATCCAGAGCGAATACGCTACATTTTAGAGAGTGTTTTTCAACAAGGGGTAGGCTACTCAAAAACTAATCCAAGGTTCTGAACAAAATGAACTCAACATCCCTATGGTCAGCTTGGTCAGTGACCATCAACAGGAGCAGAAAAGGACTGAAGCAGCGTGTGAATGAGCTGCGAGCAACTTAAAAGTTTATTGTCAAATACTGTTAAAATGTCTTCATCAACAGGTTTTCCCACACAGTAATTAATTTCTCCCACCAAATTTACCAATCCTTAAAAAAGAAATAAGTACATTTACCTTTAAAATGGATGCACACAACCTTTCCACAGGATTCAGCTCTGCCTCCTGGATCCAAGACATTGTCAGAGATTGGATGCTCTTCAGAGCAGACAGAGATCTGGTAGTATTCTATAAACTGGGAGCGGAATCAATAATGAATCACTGCAGAATCAATTGTTCCACTAGTTCTTATCAACACCTCCTAGGTTCCTGCAGTGAGTAACAAGATTAAAGCAAAGCCCTGTTGTACAAAAAGAAACTGAGCAACTTTATGCTTTTTCTGGTTTTCCCTTCAATCATTTGTACAACAGAAAGAAGTGAATTAAGCATCAACGCATTTACATTAGATAGAATGCTGAGTATTCAGATTACCACGTTTCAGCAAGAAGGCCTTTGAGATAACCAAATTTACCAGAATATTAGGGATATGGGACTTCATATATAGGAAGAGATTGGAGAAGCTGGGATAGTTATCTCTGATTCAAGTAGAACAAAGAAGTATTCAAAATTATGAAATGCTTTGGTACAGTACCTGGGGTAACAGGTTTCTCTGGCAAGTGACTCTGCAACCAGAGATCACAGATTTAAAAACGGTCAAAGAATGAAGACGCAGGGGGAAGGAAAATAAATAGATGTGTCAGAAGCTTTGCTTCTTCCCATGGACAGTCATAAAGATCTGGAATGCACTATCCAAAAAGATATTGATGGGAGATTTTATTGTAATCTCCAAAAGGCAATGGGAATACACTTCAAGAGCATTATTTTGCAATATTACAAGGATAAATTGGACAGCTCCTAAGAAAACTGGCAGAGCTATACCTCTTTCAACATCCTTCACCATGAAGCAGGTGATTCAGCCCAACTTCACACAGACCACCTTCCACCCATCTTCATTTTGCCGTTACCCTCTATTCCTTTCCTCCCTCCCCTGACTGTCTGTCTTCCTTTTAGATGCAACCATGCTATTCAGCCCAATAACTCCTTGGCAACAAGTTTTCCTTTCTAACCACATTCTGGGTGAATAAGTTTCTCCTGAGTTACTCACTAGACTTATTAATTACTGTCTTACATGTATGACTTCCAGCTTTAATTAAACAATAAATTGTCTCTTGATATTGAACTCATCTTCAGCAGGGCGGGTTCTCTGTGTGATTCCTTGCTGCTTCCTTTTGAACTTTAACCCTCACCTGAGCTCGCCCACTGGCCATTCAGAACCAATCGGATGCAAGTCTCCGGATTCCTTCCTCTAATTGGCAGTGGGTCCAACCAATGGGAAATAGCAACGTCACCCATACGGCTGACCGGGATCGAAGGGTAAACTCCGTGTTGAGTAGAGAGTGCCGCCCAGTTTATTCCTCGGTCTCCCATCCCTTTCCCTAAAATTAGTCATTGTCAAGCCCCACTCCGCTGAACTCCCAGGATCGGTCTCTTACTCACCGAGATACCGGCGGCCTGAAGGACAGCGCCTCCGTTATCACATCGACCGCTTCACCACCTCCTTAGCTGGTATCACTGCGAGGGCACCATTTATTGCCCAATTTAACAAGAAATCACACGAATTGTAAACCACTGGTAATCAGTACACAGGATCCTTCTTTCCATCTGTATTAGCTTGCTTAATGTTTAAAATTTTACCACTCAGCCATGGACCTATTTTCTACTGGTGCACGTTTCAAAATCTGGGCGTGTCACCACCCGAGAATTAAAGGGATCGTCATTGCATAAAAGGGAAGGTGTTTTAATAATTCCATCGGCCAACAGTTGCAGGGTCTGTGTTTTACAACACGCAAAGGGGTTTTTCTGCCCATCGTTTCGAAGCCTTTCCAATTATGACGTTTATTAGTCTCTATTCTGTATATAGTTCACATCAGGAAACTCCATTATGCAGCCTATTATAACCAGTTATACTGGTAGGTGACATAGTGATGGATTATAAACACCTTCCAAGGTGCCCTCAAATTCATCTGGACCATTTCTGACAACTCCTTGGAACTTTCCATCTCCATCTCCAGTAACCGACTCACCACTGACATCCATATCAAACCCATTGGCTCCCACAATTACCTTGACTACACTTCCTCTCAACCACCCTCCTGCAAAAATTCTATCCCAAGCTCACAATTCCTGCACCGCATCTGCTCCCAGGATGGGATGTTCTATTCTAGGGCTTCCCAGGTATCCTCCTACTTTAGAGACTGTAGTTTCCCCTCCTCTCTTATTAAAGATGCCCTCAACCACATCTCCCCCATTTTCTGTGCTTCTGCCTTCAAACCCTCTCCGCCAACAACAATAAGGATAGAGTCCCCTTGGTCCTCACATACCAACCTCCAAATACAACACATCGTCCTCTGATATTTCTGCCACCTACAATCAGACCCCACCCCTATCCGCTTTCCACAGGGATTGTTCACGACCCCCCCGTCAACTCCACATTCCTCAACAAGCCCTCTACCACACCCAGTACCTTTCCCTGCAACTTCAGGACGTGCTATACCTGCTCCTACACCTCCCCTCTCACCTCTGTCCGAGGCCTTAAACAATCCTTCCAAATTGGCAGATTCACCTGCACTTCATCTAACCTCATGTACTGTATCTGTTGCTCCCCATGTGGTCTCCTGTATACTGGGGAGGCCAAATGCAGAATCAGGGACCAGTTTGCGGAGCATCTGTGCTCTGCACACACCAACCAACCCGACCTTCCGGTTGCCATCCACTTTAACTCCCCTGGTGACATGTCTTGGCCTCCTTCACTGTCCTGTAAACTGAAGGAACAACAACTCATATTTCACCTTGGGAGCTTACAGCCCAATGGCCTGAATATTGACTTCACCAGCTTCAAAATCTCTCCTTCCCCAACCTGTTCATCTTCTGACTCACCAATCTGCTCCACTCTTCCCACTGACCAACCACAAGAACCCTCTACCTGCATTCACCTATCTCCATCTCATCTACCCTGCACCCCCAGCTCCACGTCTACCCCCCTCCACCCCTCCTCCCTCCCCATTTATTTCTGGGCTGCCTTCCCCCTCCTCAGTCCTGATGAAGAATTTTGGCCTGAAACATTGATGTTCCTGCTCCTCGGATGCTGTCTGACCTGCTGTGCTTTTCCAGCTCCATATTTATTGACTCTAGCTTTCAGCATCTGCAATCATTACTGTCTCCTAGTGATGGGTTATCACAGGTTGCTTGACATACTCGTCTTGGCATCCCACGCAGTGGGTCCCAGTGTACAGGAAGGGCCATAAATAATACTTTCTAATGTGCAGTGCAAAACTGAGGTTAAATAATAAACTATCATAATTAATCCACTCTCAATTTGTCCTCCTCAGTCCCCGCTCATATGATTTTTGCATCTGGTGCTGATATTATTTTCTTCAGTTATTTCCCAGAAGCAAAATTCAGTAAAAATAAACCTAGTATCACTTGGAAATGAATGTGTTGGTGATACTGGAGCTCCATTTTGAAGTATACAGGATGAGTTGGGCCAATAACCCCCATGATCCCCTGCGCTTTAAAAATATCTACATGTAATTGGTGAGTTTTGAGACATACGTCAAACGCAGTGAGACCTGAACATTCAGGCTTGGGCTGACGGGAGGCAAGTAACATGTGCACCCATAAACGTTAGGCAATGAATATCTCCCTTTAATGTTCAACAGCATTACCATTGCCCACCATCAAACATGCTAGGGGTTACTGATGACCAAAAATACAGTCATAGAAATATTTCACTACGAGAGCAGATCAGAAGTTGGAGAATCTGCGGTGAGAATGATGGGATCCTCTCTAACTGACTGGTGAATGAGTTCTAATTATGCTTTAGCAGCCCAGTTGATTGAAACACCATCCACCACCTTAAACATTCACTCCTTGCACCATTGGTGCGTGGTGGTAGTAGTGTGCATAATTGATCGAGTACAGCTCAAGAAGCATATGAATGTACAAATTAGGAGCAGCTGTAGGCCACCTGCATCCTCAAGCTTGCTTTACCATTCAAGATTATCATGGATGATCTCAATATGTTTACCCCCGTAACTTGCCCCCTTCTGCCTTAAAAATATTCAAAGACTCTGCACCACCAGCTTTTGAATAAGAGTTCCAAACACTCATGAAACTAGAAAACTAATTCTCATCTCTGTATAAGATGGACAATCCTTATTTTTAAACTGCAAATCCTAGTTCTAGATTCTCGTCAACAGAAAATATCATCCACCCTCTCCAGATATCTCAGGATTAAATATGTTTCAATCACGTTGTCTCTTACTCTTCTAAACTCCAGCAGATTTATGCTTAATCTTTCCTCAAAAGCCAATCTGCACATTCCAGGTATTAGTTTAGTAAATCTTCTCAGAACTGCTTCCAACACATTTGTATCCTTCCTTCAACAGGGAGACCAATACTGTCCACAGTACTGCAGATGTGGTTTCACGAATGCCCTGTATAACTGAAGCATAACCCCTCTACCTTCTACCCAATTTCCCTCACGATAAACAAAAACATTCACTTAATGTATTTCTATAAATTTCCAAACACCTTAGGTCCTCTACACAATTTAATTTCTTGTTTATGTGCCATCAGCAAATATAGCAAACATACCTTCAGTCCTTTCATCCAAGTCATTTATGTAAGTTGTAAAATGTTGAGGCCCCTGTACTGATCCCTGTGGCACACCACTCATTACATTTGCAAGCCAGAAAATGGCATATTTATGTCCACTCCCTGTTTCTTGTTAGCTAACTAATCTTCTATAAATACCCCCTACACCATAAGCTTGCTGTAATCACCTTTGATGTAGCACCTCATCATATGCCTTCTGGAAATCCAAATACCATACTTCAACTGGATCTCCTCTATCTACCGTACAGTACTTGTTCCAAGAAATCCAACACATGAAAGTGCCCTGCTATAACATCTTCAATAATAATTTCTAACATCTTCCTTATGGCACATATTAAACTAGCTGGCCTGTAGTTTCCTGCTTCTAGATAACACATTGTGGAGCTGGAGGAACACAGCAGGTCAGGCAGCATCAGAGGAGCAGGAAAGTTGACGTTTCGGGTTAGGAAATTTTTCTGAAGAAGGGTCCCGACCCGAAACATCAACTTTCCTGCTCCTCTGATGCTGCCTGTCCTGCTGTGTTCCTTCAGCTCCACACTGTATTATCTCTGACTCCAGCATCTGCAGTTCTTGCTATCTCTGTAGTTTCCTGCTTTCTGTCTCTCTCCCTTTTTGAATAAAGGAGGTACATTTGCTACTATACAATTTAATAAAACCTTCTCTGAATCTAGTGAATTTTGTAAAATTAAAACCAACACATCAATTGTCTCATTAGCCATTTCTTTTAAGACCCAAGGATGAGTTCATGAGGACCTGGGGACTTGTCAGCCCCTCATCTCCAACAATTGGCTCAGTACCACATCCCTTTGTGAAAAGGAGAAATATTGACAGACTACAAACTAAAAGACCAGTAGGAAATCTCTTAAAACAAAACAAATTAAGAACTAAGTAAATAAAAATAGAAATGAAAAGCCAGGCAATTTGTTGTGCCTGCATTATGGGGCAGCTGCTGGTCCCCATTGTGGTTTGTAGTGACCACATCTGTAGCAAGTATTGGTTGCTTGAGGAGCTCCAGCTCAGAACTGATGAGCTGGAATCTGAGCTTTGATCATTGCAACACATCAGGGAGGGGAGGAGTTACTTGGATGCTGTGTTTCAGGAGGTAGTCACACCCCTTAGATTAACTACTTCAAATTTGGTCAGTGATCAGGAACAACCGTGTGTGACTACAAGCAAGGCAAGTAGAGGGATCCAGAAGATAGTGCTGACAGAGCCTCAGCCCTTGAGCTTATCTAATAGGTTTGAGATTCTTGCTGTCTGTGTGGATGAGAATGGGAGGCTATAATGAAGATGAGCAAACTGACCATAACAGCACGAGACAGGGAGCTATTTAAGAGGGGGGAGAATAGAGAAATATAATTGTAACCAGGCATCGTATAGTCGGGGGAGGCATGGGAGAAGAGTTGTAGACACTGTTCTCTGTGGCTGTGATTGAAAGTCCTGAAGACAGTGTTGCCTGCCCAGTGCCCTGTTAAGGGTATCTCATCTAGGTTGCAGAGGAACTTCAAGTGGGAGGGGAAAGATCTAGTTATCATCGTCCATGTAGGTTCCAACAATATCAGTAGAATGAGCAAAAAGGTTCTGCTGAGCAAATATAAGCAGCTAGGGGCTAAATTAGAAAGCAGAGCCAAAAAGGTAACAACCTCCAGTGTGGCTCAAAGATTGGTGTGGGTGAAACAGATTTGAATTCATGGGACATTAATACCTGTACTTGGGAAGGAGGGAGCTGTTCAGATGGGGCGGGCTCCACCTGGATCATGCTGGGACAACAGTCCTGGTGAATCATACATCTAGGGCAGTGGATGGGGCTTTAAACTAAATAGTGGATGGGTGGGTTCAGTGGCATGGAAATTTATAAAATCAAAGGTAAAGGAGAAAGTAGGATTGCAGGTTAGTGATGGGGCTGATTGTTAGCAGAAAATAAAAAGGACAGATTGTGTGAATGTATATTGTACCAAGGAACCGTAAAAGTGTAGGGAAATTTGGTAATTGGACAAACGTAAACGCTTTGTACCTTGAAGCATGAAGAATTCAGAATAATGTAGACAAACTGATGGTGCAAATCAAGGAAAACAAATATGATCTCTTGCCTCTACAGAAACATGGTTACAAGATCAAACCTGGGAACTTAACATTCAGAGACATTTGACCTTATGGACCCTTCACCTTCCATTCCTCTCTGTTGTGATAATCAATCATTAACACCACTCCATCTGTATCTGGGTTTTTTGTCCTTCCTAAATGACATGTACTTGACAATAGTCAGGTCCCAATTGGAGTCATCCTGCAACCATGCCTCTGTAACAGCTATCACATTGTAATTATTATTTCTACTGCTCTCTCAGTAGCTGTTTTTTTTGGAATTGTTCATACATTCAAATACCAATAATACTTGGAAATGAAGGTCTCAAAGGTACGAGTCAGAGCAGTATGTCTTGTTTGCCAATTTTACAGGTTTTTCCTCCTTTTATTATTTTTGTAAGCTCTAGCCTAATCTGTTGATTTTGTTTTAGATTTTCACCCTCTATCCTCTCCTTTCAGTCTGTTTATAATTTCCCATATTAATACATTTCCTTGTTGCTTTGCCTTCACTCTTCGATTTGTAGCATCTTCCCAAATTTGATTCATTGCCTTCACTTTTAAGTTGAAAACTCTACTTCAGCTGTTTTGCAGCTCACCATATTACTAACCCCAGAAAGCCTCTTTTGACAATGCCTTCCATATACATGACTGCCATCACCTGGCAGGCCAAGGACAGTAATCTCCCTCCAAATCTCACTGTCTTATTTTGGAACTATATTGTTATTTCTTCATTTTGCTAGGTCAAAATTCTGGAACTCAGTCCCAAACAGCACTGTGCATATACTTACAACAATTCAAGGCTATAACTCAGCATCACCGTTTTAAGGACAATCATAAATACTTGCATTGCTCTCATCTCATGAAAAAAAAAGTAATGAGATGCTGTGTATCAATGTTGGACGGTCTTTAAGCGAAGTGTAACTCTACCATTTATTTTACTTGAACTACATTCAGCCTGTTGCAGACAGAGCACAGAAAGCCCTAGGAACAGGTGGAGTGATGTTAACTATTGATAATAGTAGCACAATAGAGAGGAATGACCTCAGTTCAGGGAATCAGAATGTAGATGTGGTTTAAGTAGAGCAATGAAAAATGTTGATCATTTTTGGAAGTTGTGTATAGCCCCCAACAGTAACAGAGATGGTAATTTTTTATATGGAGCTGAAACACTGGCATGAACCAATTCGGTTGAACAGCCTGTTTCTGTGTTGTACATTCTATGAATGGTCTATAGCAAATTAAATGGCTCATTGTGCCAGTGGGCCACTCAAAGATTTGTTCAATGCAGGTGCATGGAGGTCCTTTCCAGGGCTCTGCAAGGTAGCAAAGCTTCAGAAACAAAAACAAATACAAAAACAAAATGTGCTGGGAGAACTTAGCCAGTCTGGCAGCATCTGTGGAGAGAAAGCAGAGTTAATGTTTTGAATCCAGTGACTTTGGATTGCGTTTTCCCAGCAATTTGTTTTTGTTTCTGATTTCCAGCATTTGCAGTTCTTTTGTGTTCTTTTTTGTTTAGAAGCTAAGCGTCAGGTTTGGATAAACATGTTCAATTGTGCAGCCGATGTCATTGCCAACTCTGTCACAGAAAGTGACCACAACTGTTAATGTTTATGTCACAGGTGACTTTTGTCATTCAACACGTTACTAGAACAGTGCCATTTACACAATTTGGCAGTAGTCTCACTGGAATGAGAGTGCTCTCATTTACCAGATCTCCAGGGGTTGTGGAGCTAATGATTTCCCCATGGCAATATATATTGATGTATAAGCCCCATGCTTATTTAAACCAAACCACTTCACCTCTTAAATAGCCAGCTCTTAGCTTCTTGTGCATGAATTCATGACAGCTTCGATAATGCCATGTTTTTATACTTTGCCTTTCCAATGCATTAGAATAGCGGAGGCACAGGGCAAGATGGCTGCTTGTAGACACAGATACATTATACTTCCATGCTTTGTAAATTCTCTGTACTGATGCAGCAGAGGATAGGAATTGATCATGCTGCTGGGATTACTGAAAGGATGGATGAAAGTTCATCCTCTTAAGATCTGCCTCCTCCCACCTAGATATCTATGGTCTATGTAGATTTTTTGCTCCTCACTGCTAGCTACTGTATCTGAATGCTTCCTATTCTCTGCTCACCATTGACTCGTGTGGCTGGGACAGAGCCAATTACCGTGTCTGTGTGGGGGAGGGGACCACACAGATTAAAGCTTAGGGTGAGGAGTGAAAGGAGGTCCTGAAGAAGGGTAATACCCAAACACTGATTTCTTTTTTCCTCCAGCCTCCTGTTTGTGTACCTGTGATTACAAAATGCATATACTTTAGTGTATGTGTTGGGAGGGGGAGATCATTACAGTACACGTGGGGGAGAAACAGTGCTGAATATTGTGCATCAGTCAGATGGGAAAGAAGGGGGCTAATCACTGTATGTGTGATGGAAGCAGGGCTGATTAGTGTGCAGTAGTGGTGGTCTGCTTCACTGAGTCTTCTGTCATCAGGGAATATTGAGTACATGAAGTAATTGCAATTTTTGAAATTAACCTATATTTCTAATCAACCTGTTCAGAGATGTTATTACACACCTCTGGAGCAGGTGGAACTTGAACCCAGGCCTCTCGGTCCATCAGTAGGGACACTACCACTGCTCCATAAATAATTGCATTTTTATAAAGCGTTTTTAAAAGTCTTTCATTTATTTGATACATTCAGTAAATGGTGACCTATAATACCCAAATTCTAATACTTATAAACTTAATGTTACTATGTTGCCTTATAGCCATTTGTGTCCACTAACACCTGGCAGTCACATTAATTCTCAAGTATTAAATGGTCTCAGATTGAAAATTAGTTTCATAAGTTTAAAGTCTTCATCTTTGAGAAGTCTTAGGTCATCTGACCAAACATCTCAGTGTCATACCTTGTTTATTATACTCCTATGAAGTGATTTGGGGCATCTCATTGTGTTAAAGATGCTATAGAAATTGTTGATAATGCTGTGCTGAGGTTTGTAAACAGTGTGGAAGTAGCTGTAACAATATCTCCTGTTAAGCGCAGCAGTTGGTCAGTGAAGCACAGATAAAAACAGGTAAAAGGGGTACAGGAACACAGCATATAAATGTGGTGATGGGATGTCTGCCATACAGGATGAGCTAAGATGGAATAAATGGTTTCCTTTAGGCTTCTCAGGACTGGTGCTGCAGAACAAGGCTGTGAACAGTGGAAAATCACCATGATTAGAAAAGGTAAGCCTGACATGTTTGATCCCATAGTTATAAGTTGTCTAACCAGAATGTTGGGAGAAGAAAATAGCAAAGTAAAACATCTTTATTGGGCACCTAATTGTTAAAAAAAAAATAGTTCAACATGCTGGAAACAACTCATTTTTCAAACATTTCCACTCCAAACAATGCAAGGAGCCAATTAACAAGATGGGCTGAAGGAAATCAGCAGCTGTCAGTGGGTACATCCATGGCTGAACTGTGGCAAGTGTGGAAATGACCTGTGTATACTTCCACACCTAAAACCATCAAGCGTTTAGAAAGACACCAATTTCTTTAGAGTCTCTATCAAATGAAGCCAACCAATGACAGGCAGTGAATTGAAAAATTCATGTTGTGTCAAAGTTTGTGTCTGAATGGGAGAGCTGCATCACCTCCTCCTCCACATTCTCCTCAATTGATTTCACATACTTCTCCTGAGCATCCATGGATCTGCTCATCGCTAAGGAAATACACAGAATACAAATAATATTGTTCCAGTGGGTAACATAAAAGGCAAAAAGAAGTATGGGTGGACTGCAGAGAGAAGACATGCAAAATAAAGCAAATGATTGTGTGGGAAAGGTGGAAGAGGCAGAGAGACAGAGTATGGACAAGGAGAAAGATGGAAATGTGGGTGGTGGTGATGGGATAAAGAGAAAAATTTGAGAGTTAATGAACAGCAGCATATCACAGTATGGATCTATAATTACTGGCTTAACATTATACAATGTCGCTAATGAAACTGTGTAAAGGATACATGGTGAACTGGAAATCTGCTCCCACAGCTGCAGACATCATGGCTTCCAAAGTTCTTTGCTCCGAGTCCCCAAAGCAGTATCCGTTGGCCTTATCAACAGCCTTCATTACGTGCTTCATGGTGTCTTTATCCTGTATGAAAGTTCATGCTCATCTTCAAAATTGTATTAAACATCTTCAGTGTGAACTGGTAGAACCTATAGGATGATCTAAAGTCCAATGCTCAAATTCACACCTAGGTATACCCTAAATTGAAACAAGCTTTGCATGGACCTGGAAACACATTCACCCCCAACACTCAAATATCCTCTGCACATCTCCAAATCAATGTTTCTCAAACTTGAACAACCCTTACACTGACTATGTTTATTAAGAGTGTTTGTACATCCCAACATGTGTCCTTGACTTGAAATTCCCTCCAATCATAGCACTAACCGCAATCTCATGAATCCCAATGCACATATCACAAAATTGTTACACCATAAACCCAACACTCAAACTGCACCCTTTGGTTCCAGTTGATGTAATACTGTGTCCTGATGGGTTTGTAATGTTCTAAAACATCTACAAGCCTGTTGATATTGTTGGAAAACCAGTTAGTAAAAATCTAAGCACCTGCACATTAAGTGGTATAAAGGAAACCAGACTGTAATCTTCAATCACTTCCACCAGTTTCTTGTTTAATCGTCGAAAGTTTTTGAAGAAAGGGTCTTTCCCTAAATGATCCAACAGGTAAGACAGATCCAACACCTCAGTATAATAATCCAGATTAAATGCTGGAAAAGAGAGAAAATAGACCTTAGTCCAAACTGATGCTCAGACTTACTGATAGCCCAGACCCCCTGTGATATCATCCTCTCCACGCAAGGCATTTACTGTATTTTCAATATCACATGAATATAGAGTGAATTAACAGAAAGCAAAGTATTTTCAGCTGTAAATTATTAACATCAGAAATTAAAGAATGAACTTTAGCATCTGGACTTGCTAACATTAGAACCAGTTTGTTTACGGTTTAATATGAAGCCCCTCTCTATAGCACTAGGGCTCCCAGCTCTTCCACACACGCCCAAGTTTTCCTCCAAAGGCTTGGAACCCCAAGTCCTTCATCGAGCTTGTTGTCCAGGAATTACCCAGCTTCCCTCTCAACAGTCCCATGAATCCCCACACTTTATTGTAACTATCCCTTACCTAATTTTCCAAACTGTTCAATGAGATCCATTTTGGAGAGGATGTTGACATGAGGTAATTCCACTTGCAGCATGGTGGACAGGGATGTGCATAGGATGGAAATAAACTTTGCAGGATCAGTGCAGTAGTGAGAATCGACCAGGTGGACAGCCGTTAGCTGCACAAAGACACACAAACAGATTAACAACGCCTTCCTCTATTCCTCCAGTCCCTCCCCCATTGTCTCCTTTATTCTTCTGCTGTGACACCAGATGTCTCTACATTCTTCATGCAAGCAACTACTCATTGTGTGAGTTTACCCAATGAGTGATAATGGATTCAGTCCCAGAGTTGGGCCCTGCCCACAGCAACCCTTACCATATTTCCCCTTCTCAAAACAAAAGCCCAGGAGACTGACTTTAACACCTCTACCATAAACCTGACAGAACCACTGCCTAAGCACAGATGAGAAGTCAAAACCTCTGGTCTATATGACTCAGTGCCATACCAGTCTAGCCATTTTAAATGGTTCCTTTGAGCAGGAAAGAAGGGCTAGCCTTCAAGTGAAACGTTCAAAGCCACACCTGAAACACTGGGTATTCTCACGATCGATGCTGACTGACTTGCTGAATGTTTCCACAATTGATTGCTCTTGAGTGTAACTTACCCTGAAATTCCACTTGGTTAACTGTGCAAGGATGTTCCTCACAGAGCAGTTGTGTGTGTACAGCTCCACCTGACCAGGACAGTCAAAAAGGAAATAACAGTCCTTGAATTGTTCCAGCTTGTCCAGTAGCCAATCCAGATTTGCCTCCAAGTATTCCATGCAGTAAACGAGTCCTCCATTAGGGCCCAGTCCAAGGCCATCCATAACATCATCAAGTTTCACCAGCTCACCAATGTCCACACAACACTGGTATGGAATGAGGTCATTAGCAGGATCAAGGTTCACTACTGCCACCTTGCGACCTAGCTTCGAGAGAAACTCTTGCATCCCCATGCAGTAGGTAGTCTTCCCCGAACCAGGTGGCCCAATAACCACCTGGCCAAAAATTACAGTGCGAGGCCTGGACTCTTCTGACATCTTAACTGAATCCCTAGGGGATCACCATGGCTCCACAGGCCTGTAAGAGTTGGAAAACATCTGAAAACATTCCACCAAAGCTGTATTGTACATCGTTTATGTTACTGGACTATAAATACACAGAACATTAACTAATATCGCACCTTGACAATCTGACAATTTGAATGGAGTTGCTGGGAATAGAAGCCAGATAACTGTCATTTACTAAACAAAATAAGGGATGCTTCAAACTTAACATTAGAAGGGTAGAAGAACCAGTGCCCTAGGGAAGGGTGTGGGGAAGAGCACTCAAAAAAGCAAGCTCTGAAGAAGTCATTTGCAAACTCAAAACATTAACTCTGTTTCTCTCTCTACAGATACTGCCAGATGAGTTTCTCCAGCATTTTCTCATTTCTGATTTCAGATTTACAGCACCTGCAGTATTTTGTTTTTATTTTATAGACCTGCAGGCTGTCTTAGAAACAAGGGACAAACGGCATCGCCACAGTCAGAAATAATAGTCAACCTTGCAATTACCGGACAGTTGATCACCTTGGATGAGGAGGATTTGATATGCACAGTCTGAGAAAGAGGTGGAAACAGGTTCAATGCTAACTTTAAAAAAATTGACTTGGACAGACATTTGAAGCTCTAAGAAGAAAGAGCATGGACTCTAAACCACAGCTCCCCAATTTGGGCAGCAATAGCTACAAGGAGTTCTACAGAAAGTGTGGATTTCTGAAGAAGGGTCCTAAACGTCAACTTTCCTGCTCCTCTGATGCTGCCTGGCCTGCTGTGCTCCTCCAGCTCCACACTGTGTTAACTCTGACTCCAGCATCTGCAGTTCTTGCTATCTCTAAGGAGTTCTATACCCGCTTCCCCGTCTCTCAAATTCTCTCTACCCCTTATTCCCCATTCTCAGCGCTCATTGAGTAGTCACGACAATTTTCGAGCCTCAAAATGGGGCCACAGTGGGGGTAAAAAGTTCTGTTAACATTGCGCTAAATTCCTGTGAAGCAGGTTTCCCCGACAAGACTTAAGGGGTTTCACAAAGCAGGGAAGATCAGCAGCGTATAACAGGTTTGGGAGGTGCGGATGGGTGGGGGAGCTAATAGCACTCTGTCTCGGCCCGCCTTTCCCAAGTAACCTCTCCCTACAGCAACTAGATTGAAGAATGCTCCCTACATAGCGAGAAAGCGAGTCCAACTCTTCCCCCCGAGTTACAGTCAGCATCAACAGGCCCGAATTCGCAGGCTGCTCCGCTACCATCCGAGCATGCGCCGTGCAGGGCCGTACACTTCCTGTTTGCCGGTGCCGGCAGGACCCCTGATCAATGTAGTGTGGTGGGTGGAAATATATGGGACCATGGTCCTAAAAGCTTTGCAGCTCTGACATCTCATTTGGGTTTATTATCTTTCATTATTTGGTGATTAACTGTGGATACGTGTGTCCATCACTAACTGCAGAGAAGGTGATGGTGAGCCACCTTCCGGCACTGCTGATAGGAAGTGAATTCCAGGATATTGACCCAACAAGAGGGATGAAAGGGAATATGTTTTAAATATAGGGTTGGTGGGCTACGTGTAAGTGGTATTGAACCCATGCATCTGCTGTCCTTGTTCTAGGCAGTAGGGGATGTGGAGCAGGAAGCTAACAAATAGACAAGATGCACGCCAGCAGTCCGACTGCACTGTTAGTGGATGGGATTCTTCGTTCATGACGGTATCAAGGTTCAGATGTCTTTGGAGCTGCACTAATCCAGCCAGGAGAGTAGCAGTTCTGCACATTCCTGTCTTGTGCCTTGCAGATGATGGAAAGTCTTTGGGTAGCCAGGAGATGTAGCAGAATCCAAGCCCGTTCCTTACTTTTGTATGTTAATCGAGAGATTGATTGTTTGTTTTAGGCAATAACTTCATTGTCATATTTAGATCATCTCTATTTAGGTTTTTATGATGACTACACTATTACATTCAGCTAGCACTAACTATAATCAGAAATGCTGGCTACGTGCAGATGTTACTCTGATTGCTAACACAGCAAAATCAGAAAGGAGTTAGACCAACTATGGATCATTGTCTTTTGTTTGTCTAGCAATTCACATATTCTGTTCTGTCCTTTCTACGAGTCATGTGAACAGTGATGGAGTACATTTACATTTCCCCCATTTATGAATAAATGTTCAACATGGGCCTTGAACATTAGATATTTCTCTTTTTCAGATAACCATTTTTACCCAGCCACCTAGATGGCAGTCATATCAAAATTGATTCCTTCAACAGATCATCCCAACAAGTCTAGACCCCAAACATGAGCAGAACATTCAACTGCATAGACTAGTCATTATATTGAAAATGAAATCATGTCAAATAATATCAGACTATCAAAATATAATTCCCTTCACAGCACAAACTAGGATCGGAAGGCGATTAACTTCATTTGAAAATATTTTGGATTTTCCAAGAATTCTATTAGTCTGTACATTAAAAACTGCATTCAATGCTGTGCAGTTAGTTTGTGTTTTAGGTTCATTCTGTGCAGTAACTAGGGATAGCACCTATATCTAATCTTCATGCTGAATTAACAGAAGTGACATTTAATCAATAGAGTAATAGAGTTCGCAAAAATTCACAAAATTGCAAATTGGAATGAACATACAACACTTGACATGAGCAGACTAAATTTATTTTAAAAATATAAGAAAACATTTTATTCAACATATAAAATATTTTTTCCTGAAATTAAATAACGAGAATTTTCAATTGTAACAGAAAACAGTATAAATACTCAACATTGTTGCAGAGATAGTAGGAACTGCCAATGCTGGAGAATCTGAGACAACAAGGTGTAGAGCTGGATGAACACAGCAGGCCAAGCAGCATCAGAGGAGCAGGAGAGCTGACGTTTTGGGTCT